AAAGATTTTGACAGCTCTCATTGTGATATTCTTAACTAGCACTTCTCAATCTACCACTAAATCTGATCTTGACTTGTGAAAAAAATTTTTTTTTTCATGATACCTGAGCGAGATCCCAGGTATAAAAATCATCAATGTCGATTTTCGGGGAATAAAGTTGAAAAAAGTTATTAGAGATGTTCCCGCTTTTCACAAACCAGAAACACTTACGCTCATGTGAGCGGGAGCGTGAACTGTACACTCCTAATCTTCATCATGCTTGTTTTTGCTACAATTGGCGCAAAAACAAGAAAGTGAACGTAAATAAATTTTGAATAATGTATTTTATTGTACTCTATGTCTATGTTAAATGACAAAAAATTTTCCTACGCTTCATTGGCTATCAAGAGAAATATTGATCGGATGTATGTGTGAATGTGAATGAAATGAATACCCACATTGCCATCCCTTTTTTTTGAGAATATATCACAGTTGATTTCAGAGTCTAGTTGAGTTTCGGATCATAGTAGAAAAAGTGTCAAAAAATGCTCAGTTGTGAATCATTTTTCGACAAGGAACAAGCTGCGTCGAGTACTTTTTCTTCTATAGTTGGAGAGTCTTTAGTCAGCAAGACCAATGTGACACCGCCAATAATTAATCCAGCAGCAATAATTTGTTGAAAGGACAAACGTTCTTCGAGAAAAATAGCACCCAATATACAAGATATCAAAGGTTGTAAAGCGGCTGATAGTCCACAAACAGTTGGATGAAGCCATTTATTTGCATATGAGTATAGGACAGTAGCGATACTCGACGAGCCGATACCAGAATATAAAAAACCAGCTAATTGTAGCTTACTTATATAAATCCATTCCATAGTACCCTGGAAACTGTCATACACAAGACTAACAATAAGAAATATTGGTGTCACTAGATCATACGAAAAGGCTACGGTGACTACGGAAGAAAGGTGTGAGAGAATTGGCAGTTGCATTCACATGTAGATACTGAAGCATAGAGTATTGCCAATCAAACAGATAAAACCAAGTACACGGTAGGATTCAAAACTTGACAATGAATCCATAGATAATTTTAGTTGAACTGGAGATTTACTTATCAATATTCATATTGCACCTAGGATACAAGAAACGCTTCCAACTCCTTCCCATTTAGTATATACAATGGACTTAGATTGTTGACTAGTAAAATTGTATCGATTGCGTATGATTCAAATCAAAGGCGTAAATACAATAACGAGTGGTTGAAACAATGCCGCTTCTGAAGTTGATGTCCATTTGAACCCAAGAAGAAATAAAACTGAATTACCTCCAACCAACAGTATGCCAAGACTAAACAATCGTCGAAGAAACACGCTTGACACATTTCGTAGACCAATCGGATCGATAATTCTAGCCATTATAAACAAGAAAGGACAAGCAAAGACACATCGCAATGTTAGTACCGTTAACGGTGAGATTTGCTTTACTAAAACACGACCAATAATATGCCAACCACACCAGAGAAACACGCTATTCAAAAGACATAAACAACCCCAGAGTCGCAAGATTGTCATGATGATTGTGCTAAATAAACACATGTTTAAAAAATAATGGTATCCCAACGTGTTCCATTCTCAAGAATCATACCTACAGTACTAGACATAAAGCATATGTCAAAATTAGTCCTTTTTAAAAACTGCTCAAATAGCAATCGTGAGTACTTTGAGAAAAAGATGTATACTCAATATGGGCACTTTTTCGAATGATATCTACATTTATATAAAGGCTATAATCATATAGTAAAAACTGAACTAAATAGTTACCTACTATAACAACGACCAATTGACGATAGATGACAATCCTCAACCGTGTTTGTTTATCAGTTATTTCAATAGAGACATATTAGAAGTACAATGTACAGACCGCGAGCGAGACGCGTAGGAATTCATGAAAAACAATAGAAGAAAATCAACTATCTATGACTAATAAATTCTATTCTTGTTGCTTTGTGTATACAACAAGAAGTGAGGAATAGAATGTGTTGCAATTTCTACGAAGGAAAGGAGGGGATGAAACGCATACTAAGAATCGAATGCAAGCATATTCGATAACCTATTGTAGTTAGTGAAATGCTGGGAATGTTAATAAAATCATTATTACAACGTTTTTCTGAGCGCACTGTAATGAGACAGAAGTAAAAAAAAAATCATTATCGATGAATGAAATCAGAATTTGATTGAAAGTTTTTCGAACGAAAGTTAAAAACCTAAGATCACAGGACAATGAGTAATGACTTCAAAAATTGTATCACAGTTCCAATTCGTCAAGTGAATGTTTCATTAATCTTTTCAGGTATTCATAAGTTTGTAAAACATGTATGAAAATATATGTTACATAAGACGAATACAATGAGACTATCTTCTCTCTACCTCAGAGACACATAAAATATAAATAGAAGGAAATAAAAAGCTGACAAGCATTACTGATCATGATGCATCGAGCGATCTCTTGTCAAAGTAAATATTCCAGGTGTCACCATCATCGTTAATATCACTGATATATTCTATGAAATATCTGTTTTTTTGGGTATGAATCTCATAAACTGTTACAATCGATAAAATTCGGACATGTCTTTTTTGCTTTTGCATTTATCTTGAAAATATTTGTTCCTGTTGCAGCAATGTAACTTGTCAAATGAAAGTTCATCGATTCGAATACAGACATTAATTGTTATTGATTGATTTTTGGTCAACTTTTTTCTCATCCATTTAATTCATCAAATTAAATCATTCTACGTCTATTACTTTCGAATACAATCTCGATTGATCCCAACAGTAAATAAGCTTTCATCACTATACAATTTAACTGTATATGATTTCACACCTACAACTGAATCAATATTATTTTATATTCATTTATTCTCTTTCAACAAACTGTAAATATCGAAAATAAGTACTAACGTAAGTTCGAAAGTACCTCTGCCACAATCTTTCAGGATATAAAGATAAGAGACAATCTGAAACTTTCATTCTATGCTGCAACGTTTTTTCTTCTAGTTCTTGTTTTACAAGAAGTGATATCCAACAACGAGAAACTACAATATGTTGGATCGGATCAATTTATTTAAAAAAAATCTCATTGAATTCATTTGGTTGCATTATGAAAAATGGTAATCTAATAAAATATTTCTTTAAAACATAAATTATTCTATTCAGATAACTTTTTATTGTATAAGAGTATTTTAAATTTTGTCAATGTAAAACGTTTATATTTTAACTTCTATTTTAAGTTTAATTCAAAA